ATATATATATATATATATAAAAAACAGTCAGATTAATAATCCATTGTTCCTTGTATTTTAGTGTAGCTTATGTATGTTCTTAAATAGGTAGATAGGATGACACGTGTCATACACGAAAGCCCGTTTCGGCAAGCAGAAATTACACACCCACTCAAACCTTTAAGCTACATTTTTCACTCTTCTATCTTAGATTAGACCTGTTTCCTGATTCGTCGAAAAAGACAACACCCAGTTAAAGATTTAAAATCTCATTCCCCCTCCAATTCTTAAATGTAATACTACTTTGCTTAAAAAAGTAAATCATTTTTTATGAAGTTATTAACATCGCTTGAGAATGGAACAAAAAATTTAATTTAAATTTTTAGTTCCGAAACAGTAATTTCTATGTCGCAGTGAAAGCATATTTTGAAGTAATAATATTATAATATATATATATATATATATATATATATATATATATAAAATGAGAGACATTTTGTGTCGATTAATTCTAAAGGTCAGCTTTTCCAAATTACGAAGAATCCTTCTCAGAAAAAGAGGCAATTCCATAAGAAATTGTTCGAAGTACAAGAAATATGGTCCAAGATTTCGACTTTTTTAAGTCATCATCAGGGTAGGTAGAGACACTTAGTGAGTTTCGTAGAATTAACGAGTGTTATGACGTAGGTAAATAGTGTTGTAACGTAAACCAGGTGTGACGTGTGTGTGCGCGCGCGCGTGTGTGTGCGTGCGTGTGTGTGTGTGTGTGTGTGTGTGTGTGTGTTTTATATACATTTAAGGATGCGGGCTCTATGAATAACACCAAAATTGGATCGTTAAAAATCACTGGCGAATATCATCTTAGTTATTTATACGGGAGTGTTTAAACCCATAAATCAGGCAATCAGATCTGCTGTATAACATCCCAAGTTCCTACACCCATATATCAACTATCAAAAAACTTTAAACCAATTAATTGCAACCTATTTGCCTACCAAATATAGTATCAGCTTTACTAACGAATTTTTACAAATTCTTCACTCCAACAAAACTCCGACTGAAATCTTAGCACCCTTACACATTGAAAATTTCTTCACTAACATTCCGGTTCATGAAACAATTATTTTACTACCATTTTACTCTGCCACGTCTGAAAATTCTAAATACTTTCTTCTCTCGCAGGAAAAAAAATTAAATGCAATGTAAATAGTTATTTTATGTCTCCCTTGAATCCAGCTCTTTGTTTATCTCCACAATAATGTTTTCTTAGTTTCTTTCAAACTCAGTAACCCCTTGCGTATTAGTTGCTTTATTGTCTTATTTGAGGAGAAAGAAGTTTGATCACGTTCGATCAAAATTTTTTTGCAGAAAATATTTATCTTGATAACAGCATAATGTTTTGTTTTTGTATTTTGCATTTCTATCACTGATTGATAATATTGTTGGGTTTGTAAAATCCGTCTGCTCCTATATATAGAGATTGGTCACATGATGTTAGGCGGTTTCTCATTGGTTGATAGAACCGCGTGCGTTCAGAAAAAGATGGCCACCACCAAAAATGGGACCAAACTTGCTTCGAAGTAACAGAAAAAATTCTTTCTGCCGCCAACGGTACCAGAGCCGAGGGTTTTACTTTTAAGGGTACATGCTATCCAGCCCTATTTCACTCCACCAGATGGGCAAGTCCGCCTGGCATATTTTCTCTGTATAGGAAAGAACATTGTGTTTATAATAAGTTAATGGCGTTTTCATTTTTCTTTGCGTTGGAGTGGGGATTGCGTCTGGCGTCAGTTTTTCTGAACTTCATTAAAACTAATTTTATTTGTTTGTCGACGACGTGGCTAGGGAAATGATTGTTGATTAGAGTTTGTTTAATGTTGTTAATTTTCTTATAGAATAACATGTCCGAAGAAAAGATTACTTTGAATCGATAAATTATGTTTTTTTTTATAAAAGCTATTTTATATCTCTCTTACTTTTGTGAACACGAGTTTCTGCTAGTGATTATTTTGTAAAGGGAAGTGGTAAAATTATGGCTATTGGCATCGACTAATTCGTCAAGGAAAGGAATTTTATTGTTAATATTGAGTTCCTAAGTGTACGACATAGTTATTCTCAAAGGTTTCCTTCAAGTTTTAATTTCTTCTAAGCTATTTGCGAACATGAATGTAATATCGATATACCGTGCGAATATGAGGGTATGGTGGAATTACTGAAGACTTTGTTTTCCACATGTTAAAAATTAGAAAGCGTTGGTCCAAGGAACGAACCCATCGCTAAGCCGTAACTTTGTATATAAATGTTGCTATAGTGGTTGTAAAACGGTCCTTATAACGTGAAGGATAGAAGAAGTTTTCGTAGAATAGTTTGTCTAATTTTAAGAGATGGTAACGAAGGGTGATTGTATATGTTTTGTAGGACGATACCTATAATTTCTTTTACTGGGACATTAGTAAATAAACTTTCTACGTTTAGGGTGGCTAGGATGACATTATTCGTTTTTTAGACTAGTATGACGAGCAATTCGCTAGTGTACTGAAGGCGAGACCATTTCAAACGTCCAAATAATATATATATATATATATATATATATATATATATATATATATATATATATATATATATATACATGAACAAAAAATCACTTCTATATATATTAATTTTAAGGTTAAAAAAACAAACAAAAAGACTTATCCAAACAAATGTTTTGAAAGTTTTATAAGATCAGCGCTCTTGGATAAGTCTTATTTCTTATAAGTACATCTTCTTTGTCATGTTGTATTGATAATGTTATAATTTATGAATATGTCCTGAAGATGGTTTATTAGACCGAAACGTCCGACGTTGACATATTAACATTAAAACAGTATAAATTGTATATAAGGATTTTTGTTTGTTTTTTCCGTATATATTTTTCTTCATACTGTCGGATCTATATCCATATATTTGCTTACATATATATATATATATATATATATATATATATATATGATTGTGTATTTGGGTAGCAATCCCTCTTTTATACAAGTTTTATTACATACCACTGACAAGGTATTGCGATTAAGCTTTTACAATTTTTCTTCTGTTCATAGAAGAACATGTTGGTAAATATTAAGTTGACAGAATAGCAATTGGCGAAGAAAAATATAAAGAGAAAGAAGACACCACGACTAAAATATAAATTTGCTAATAAAAAACGAGGGGAAAAATACAGGCAAAAGAGCCAATGTAAAGGGTTCCTAGTGAGTCAGTCATTTATATGCCATGCGTGATACATGTTTAGGCGATCATGCATCTTTCGATACATTACTGACGTGACAGTTTTTTTTTTCCCGCAATAGGGTGCCATTTCTTTCTGCGATAGACCAATTGCCATCCAAGGCTATAGAACCCGGCAGGGTGTGGGAGCAGAAGAAGAGGATTCATACCTTTCCCAAGGGTATTAGCACGTAAGTGAATGTAATGGATTCGACTGGAATTCGAATTCGGCTCTCCGATTCCTCAATAGGAGCCGCTATCCATTACCCCTACTGAGTACAAAATTGCCTCCTCCTACTGAGTACAAAATTGAAAAACTCACTGAAATACGCACTAAAGACGGAGAAAGCTGTCTAAAATTTATTTGTTATTTTGTGAATTTAATATTTACCAACGTATTCTACTGACGAATTGTTGGTGAAAAGGATCTTAAAGAAGAATGCTTTGTTGCGTTTACAAATCTATATATAAGTTCTGTGTTTTTTTTTTATATATATATATATATATATATATATATATATATATATATATATATATATACGTGTTCTATATATATATATATATATATATATATATATAACATAATTTAGGAAAAACAGATTTTTATGGAAAATAGGTTTCTTAAAACAAAATAAGTTCCTGAGCACGCACGCACACACACACACACACATATATATATATATATATATATATATATATATATATATATATATATATATATATATATATATATATATATATATATATATATATATATATATATATATATATATATATATATATATATATATATATATATATACGTGTTCTATATATATATATATATATATATATATATATGTGTGCTCAGGGAACTTATTTTGTTTTAAGAAACCTATTTTCCATAAAAATCTGTTTTTCCTAAATTCATGTTAACACAATTTTTCTGAAAAAGGTTGTTAATTTACTTCACTCCCTCCATATTTGTAAACTGCAAGTGGAACAAGACTCCATCTAATATTAGCTGCCGATCTCTAAAGACCGTTACACTTTACTGCCCTTGCGTGACCTCCACTTTTTGTATTCCTTTTGGGATTTTACACTAAACCCTATTTTTGAATGAAACTTCTCTCTCTCTCTCTTTCTTTCTCCCTCTGAGTCTTTTTTTCCCATATTTGTTTCCCCCCCCCTTTTTTTTCAATTTTTTGTTTTTATTTTATTTAGTCATTTATTTATTTTAAAGGTGATATTAGAAAATGATTCCATAAATGAGTAAAAATCTTGTTAAAATTCAGGAATTAAATTCAAGAGGTGGAGATATTGGCATTTGGGAGGCGAATGTGATGCTAGAGAAAAATATCACGTGTTATTTTTAAATTTAGTTGCAACTTCGGCATATGATAAAACTAGGTGTACGTTTACAAGGGAAAGAAAGATAAAATGACAGCCCGGCAAGAAATGAAAACGCGAATGTTGTTTTCATATTTGTTTATCTATTCACGGATTCGCCTGGAACGGTCTGGGGTGGGCAAGGTAGATAAGACATTGGGTATCTTTGCCGCTATTTCTGTCTATTTTTACTACAAATTAACGGGCCAGACTTCCCTTCGGCCAGTGAGAACTCTCTCTCTCTCTTTTTCTCTCTCACCTACTACCATTCTGCTCATTTCTACATCATGACGCGCGGCTTGCAACTCTCTAACGGTTTGCTCGAAAACTAATCATTCTGACTGACTGCTTCTCTAAACCTGTAACCGGAACTTCCTAACTTCTGGCCAAGTGGTTTGCGGCCATATCGCGTCGAAACACCAGTTATCGTCCGATCACCGAAGTTAAGCAACGTTTGACCTCGACAGTATCTGGATGGGTGACCGCTGGTGATTACCCAGTGGCTGTTAGCTTGGATGTACGATTGGTGTAATGGATAAAGGCTCGTAAGATTAGAGTTCGAATTGCAGTTCAAAGCGTTATATTCACTTACGGTTAAAAGCCATTGGGAAAGTTATAAATCCACCTCTTCGCCTCCGATCTATGGGTTAAATAGAAATGACTTTTATCAGAAAATCATTTTTGTCTACAAAACATTAAAAAAATCAAAAAATATGTCTTGGCTTAAAATAACTTCAAAAAGGTTGATAAACCGTAAAAAACAAATCAATCAACCAATCGATCAAATCCAAATCAATTTTAGGGAGATGGGCGGGGTGGGGGATAGTGAATAGACAAAAGCTCCCAGAAGAAGTACCAGGGAAATGTTATTTCTTCTTTCTTTTCCTGCTATTTACTTTGAGCTCTTTGACAAGACCCAAAGAAGAATCAGCAATATTATTGGTCCTAACCTGGCGGCTCGAAAGTAATGAAGACGAAAGTGTTATGTCAAGGCAAGACATACTGGACAGTGAAATCGAGAGCAATATAGACTCTGAAGATGAACAAGGGCTATCATTGGAGGAACACACCTATGAAAAAAGGAGGTTGAGGTCTTCCATATCTAGACAATCTCTTGGGGAGAAGGAGGAAGATAGTGAGGGGACAAAAGCTCCCAGAGGAAGCAACAGAGAATATCAGTCATGTGCCATGCGTGATACACATTTAGGCGATCATGTATCTTTCGATACATGATTGACGAGGCAGATATTTTTCCCGCAGTAGGTTGCCATTTCTTTCTGCGGTAGACCAATTACCATCGAAGGATATATATATATATATATATATATATATATATATATATAAGTTGTATGGATATGTGGCTGTGATCGACCCTGGGATTCACGCTTTTGCGATCATCAGACAAACGGGTTTATTTTTTTTTAAATGAATCTATTTCGGTCTGTCCTGCTATTTACCCATAGATAGGGGGAGAAGAAGAAGATTCATACCTTTCCCTTAGCACGCAAATGAATGTAATGGATTCGACGGGAATTCGAACTCGGCTCTCCAATTCTTCAATCCGAGTCGCTATCCATTACTCCACAGAGAATATAAGGGTATACAACCACTTCGGTAAAGGGGGACGAGGTGACCCCTTTACATATGAAGACAAAAAGACTATAAATAGCTACAGCTATTACCCATGAGGCAGTTCAGTGCATACTACTTCTTTGGAGTCAGTAACGCTACACTACACTTACTTTTAGACTTTACTGTCTACTTTTCTTTGTGGATGCTCAAAGCATGGCTGGATTTCAACGTGTCACATTATTCCTACTATTGTTAATAATGATAATAGTTCTGTTCGTTTTACTACAATTCTTCGCATTTATAAGTCGTCTTTCTTTGTTTTGTCTTGTGCACTTCCTGAAGCCCATGTTCGTGGAATCGACACAGTCCTCGAGGTTGACTAGCAATTTCCTACCTTCTTTTCTGATACCTTTTGGCACGAAACTAACCATTTTCACCTGAAAACTCGAGCCATATTCTTAAATAGCTTTATCACATCGACACTTTCATGTGGATGTCAAGCATGGCGTCAAACACGTTCAAAAATATCTAAACTGTACACATTCGCTTTTTAGATCAATGATTAAAAATGGCTTTGAGTGAGTGAAGCCTGTGGGTCGTGGCGTAGACTATTCATCTTTGAACCTCGTGGACTGGCACTACAAAATCATAATGTGCCAGATAACAAAAACAGAATAATCTGAGGACTTTAAACAGCAGCAGCAGCAGCTCAAATGGATGTCGCGTGTAACTTCTGTCTGCCTTCCATTAGCATGGCTGATGCTAACCTTCAGGAAAGTGATACGTTACGCCTTCTGGAGCTTACGTTCTCAGCTGACATAAAGTGGAAAAACTATATTGAATCCATTGCTTGGTTCACAGTCGGTTCACTGTGTCGTGCGAGACAATTTTTCACTCTAGAATCTATCTTACACATCAATTAGTCTACCATTCGTCCACACTTAGAATATTGCTGCTACATATGGTCCCATGCCCTTGATATAGCAATATTATCGGCCCTAATCTTGCGTCTCGACTTCAGTCACTTTCCAACCACTGTAAGGTCCCTCCCCACCCGTGTCTTTTCTATAAATACTTTCATGGTAATTGTCCGGATGAGATTTTCGCTATGGTACTGAGACTTTTTTTGAATTTAAGCGCAGTACTGAACTGGCGACAAGCTCTCATAAATTTACAGTTAATCTGGCTTGATGTAAGTTTTATGCGAACAGCTTCTTTTGTTGCATTTCTCTCTTGTGAAACTCCTTTCCGGCTACATACTTTCCAGGCATCTTTAATCTTCAAAAATTTAATGCAATGTCAATCGCTATCTAACGTCTTCCAGATTACTCTTTTCTCTTCCCCCTCATTATTAATGTTTGTGTTCTTAATTCTTTCATACACTGTAGCCTCTTGTGCCTTAGTGGCTTTATTGCCTTGCATGCGGTGATACTGATTTAAAAAAAAAACTCAAATGGAAAATAATGACAATCAATATGCTGCCATTCCTCAATGTTTCAAGTTTAGAAAGGAAACCCTCATTAGTAATGGAAAGAGCAACAAGCTTTTAACATTTTAATGATCTATTGCTTAATATTAAAGATTTTACTTACAAGGACAGCTTTCTTAAAAACCGTTATCATCCAGAAATATATTGGTCGGCCGTTTTATTTATTAATTATTTTTGTTGTAATATTAAGCATTCGTCCATGATAAGAATTCGTAAAGAAATAAGAAATCAAAGGATATAAATTTAATTTAATATCTTTCTCAGCCTAGCACATAATATCTTCAGTCAATACAGAAAAGCCTCTTCTTCTATGTATCGTATCCCTTCAGGACGTTGGCGACCATGGCTCTCCACAATTTCTTGTCTTTTATAGTTTCTCTATAACTTTCGTCTTTTTGTTATATCGCCCAAACCTTGCTTCAATATCCATTTGCGCAGGCTCACCAATTAGGTTGTGCGTTGCTTTCCTCTGTCCCGCTTTGCCGTCACTCTGTTCTTGTGAGTGTCAAACTTTCGAAGCCCTCTTTCCTCACTATGTGTTCTTTAAATTTCAATTGTCACTTCCTGATGTTAAGTATGTCTCCTTTTTGTTTCCATTGTCTCTAGTACTTCGTCGTTGCTCATGTGTTCAGTTCATGGTTTTCTCGAAGGCATGGAGAGAGAGAGAGAGAGAGCGAGAGAGAGAGGGAGAGAGAGAAAGAGAGAGAAAGAATGAGCGAGACAGAGAGAGAGAGAAAGAGAGAGCGAGGATATGGCGGAAGGGAGGGAGAGAAGAGGACGGTGAGAGATTAATATAGATAAAATGATAACAATTTATATTTATGGATACTACTTAAACTTACTCGACTGTTAATTATAGCGTCACATTCGGTGATTGAACTTATTTTCAGATTCTCCATTTTAGTTCCAGGGTTTTATTTTTTTTACGGTAAAGTCATTTTGGATTGCGTTGATAAAAGAAGATATTTTTTTTTCGTCTACAGAGTTCATGTCGGTATAACTGGCTGATAAGACTCTAAAATGAAAAGATAACGTTAATGTTATATATACATACTTTATATCTATATTGAAATAATCTAAGGCGCAAAACACACACACACACACACACACACACACACACTGTTATTCGGAAATAATGTGGTGCTAACTTATCTATGATCGACTAAAATTTTACTCTATTGACATTACACAGGATTAATCTAGGTGTCTATTGGGCACACTTATTGACAAAATTCTGCTCAACCCAACATAAAACAAGTTATATCATTTTAGATTTATTAATAGGCGCTATTGTATATATATATATATATATATATATATATATATATATATATATATATATATATATATATATATATATATATAATACTCACCCGTTGTTTTCAAACTATGAGAATCCAGTTGCTCAATTCCAAGAACCAAACAACCAGACTATCCGCACTTACGTTTGATTATAGATCTGAAGAATTGTCTAGAACCAGCCACACCTTCTTCGAGGCGCTAAATACAGATAAAATAAAACCCAAGTCAAATCTAAACGAGTGACTGTATCAATTTCACTGCCCAGTACAAGACTGTGTTTCTTTGTTATAAATCAGTTACCTGTATCGGACATACTACCACCTCTTTGAGTAGACGCCTTACATGTCACTTATCTGATCAAATTGCTATAAAAAAAATATAGCTATCCACAATTTACAAGAACCCTTAAGAAAAATTCTGGTCGAAAATACAAAAGTTCTATGTAAATCACATTACCGGAAACATCTCGCTGGGAGAAAGGCTCTGTAAATATAACATCTCTCTCCTACTATCAAACCCACCTTATTTAACAGTGGGAATGGTGTGTTGAAAGTTTTTAAACAATAGAAAAACGTTCACTTGAATTCCAGCCGCGCTCAACACGCGATGCTTGGAATAAACGCTTCTACTTGTAATAACTCCACATCAAAAAAGAAAAAAAAAACTTAAACAGTCAAATAAAAAAAGAAATTAACAACACCTAAGACACCTCCACTTTAAAATGGCTAAAGAAGTGGCCAAAAGATTCTAAAACAATGGACAATAAGCTCAATTTTTGTACTCCCTTACTTCCATCAAGTGGAAGAAATGCATTAACGCTAGAAAATCTAAATAAAAAATTCATTTAATTCTCCTTGTCTACTATATTCAACGAAACATGTATAAAAGAAAGGTTGCTGCCCGAATATACATTATATATATATATATATACATAAATTCCCAAGAGGATAGAATCCAGGTAGAACTCAATATCCAGAATAGAGTAAGAATATAATATAAAAAGCTCAAACACTAATATTCCATGATTATAATTTATCATATTGGAATCGTAATCACGATCCGACTCATCAGACCTTCAAATTAAAAAAGAACCCTTATTTTGAATATGTAGGTCTGATGAATTGGATCGTGATTACAATTCCAATG